GTAAAACGAATGAATGAAATAAATTTGACAAACTATTTTATAAGAATTAGAGATTGATGTTTTACTTATTAGAGAATACAGTTTAATAAAAAAAATAGTACGAGAAGAAATTTACCATTCAGCTTCTCTGCATTACAATAGTTTGAATTAAACCCACTGACGAACTGTGTAAAATAATATGAATATATTATTTTATAATGCTAAGAACAAAATGCAAATCGGTGTCATTGACATGTTTGTATTAGAAAACAAAGAGATTCAGGGTTTGTGTATTTTGTATATTCAGACCCAGCAACTATTTTTGTTTCGCATTTTTGCTATACTGCACTTGCCATTGTGTGTTACTGTGCAATAAAGTTGAATGCATAAATGTTTTTGTTTATGTATTTATGAATGTTTTTATTAATTTCAAATAGCAATTGAAAACCAATCACAACTCATTAGCGGAATCGGCCACTGTCTAAAGAAAAGCCAAAACAATTTACGAGAAATAGACGAAATAGCTATCGTTAATGAAAGCAAGTTCTTGGGTTTGAATAAAGCGTGAGGGTTTACATTTTTTCATATTACTATTTATACCTTTTTTATGTTATAAACTTTATAGTATTATTGACACAACAAACACATTTCATTTGTTTTTATAAATATGTATTATTTGAATGGCAGTTGAATTCAATCCAATCATATTCAACAAGCGCAGTTACATCATTTCACTGTTATTTCATCGGCCATTAGAGTCCTCTCGATTCTGTTTGAATTGTAATTGTAATTTATAAATATATATATAAAATGGTAATAGGTTTGTTGTGTCGATATTGTTAACATCAATATTCTGACACGACATGGAGCCAATAAAGATGACTGTAACTGTATAAAAATAACTACGACCAGTTATTGTTCAACAGTAAATCTGATCGTCACAACATACCTCAATAAACAACAGAATTTGAGACATTTATTTGCAGAAAACGATCCCTGTACGATACAGTCGATACGATCCCTGGACCAGTGTGACAATTATCCTGACTCGCGTAAAGCTTTGTTGGACAGAACCAGGCTGGTAACACAGTCGTTTTTTAAAAGAGAAACCACACTAAATCGACCTTGTCTACTACAAAAAAATTAAATTAAGTTTTTACATGTTGTTGACTATTTCTCATGAACATGCCGATACCAGCTAAAGATTCATATGCGACTTTGTTGTCCTACCGATCGTTCCGAAGTTCACCCCTTGCTCGTAGATTCAGTCCTGCAGAAATATACCTATGAATCATAAACTCAGAACCAAACTGATGGCTGTTAAAGTCAAAGGAAGATCACCTTCGTGTTCGAACAAACTTTGACGAGCGTCCTTATGTAAAAAAAAACTTTCATTACTACCACTGGGACCTAAAGTATTGATTCCAGAACGAATGAAAAGCGGTACATGATAGATCATACTTGGTAAAATTCACCTACACCTGG